TCTTCCTGTATACGATGTGGGGCAAATTGCTCCATCTGGCGCAGGTGGAAGTGCGGTCGCAGTTCTCCTTTCGCGTCCAAAACTATCGGTGCTATCTTTACAAACCTCTTTTTTCATCCAGTGGAGGTTTTGGTCCTATCAGGTTCAATCATAGCGCTGCCGGACTTTGACCTTCGACCCTTCTGGTCTGCCACGCGACAGTGTCTCTTCGTAAGACCTGAACTTAAGACGGTATTCCGCTCTCAACTTTATCCCTTTTTTCCGTCAGGCCCCGTTCAATCCTTTGCAGCATCACCCCCCTCACCACTCCCCTCCCCCCCCTCCCCATCAACCCCATCCCCCAATTCCCCCCCCCCAATCCACCTTCTCATCCCGCCCACAATCCCCGGCACCAGCCCAAACGGCGGCGGGTGGTGATCGGGCCAGGGGTAGTGGCGGACGCGACCGTGGACGGCCTCGTCCGGGTAGCCGGTGCCCTCGGCGCGGAACTCCCAGACGGCCCAGCCGGCCGGGTGGCGGGCGTCGAGGAAGGCGACGAGGCGGTCGAGGGGGTTGCGGTAGGCGCGTTGCGGGTAGGTTTGGGAGGGGCCGGATCTGTGTTTTTTTTTGTTCTGTTTAGTCTTTTTTTGATTTTTTTTTTCTTTTTGGTTTTCTTTCCTTATTTTTTTTTTTTTTTTGGTGTGTAAGAGGAGAGGTTGATCGGGTAGAGGGGAGGTGGGTTGGTTTGGTTTAGTCTGGTCTGGTGGCCCTGGGTGTCTGGGATACTCTCTGGGTTGGTTGGTTGGGGGGGAGGGAGTTGGGTTGGTCAAGACGGCTGTGGAAAGGAGAGAACCCACGTTGCAATGATATTAGGGGTCACGTAGCACAGATCGAGACCGGTTTCTTGGTGTTTTACGCGGGGCCCGGCGACGATTTGACGGAGTAGGGAGGCCATGATGGCATGGAGGGCGGTGTGGTTTGTATTGTCTGGTCAATTTTGTACGGTGGTAAGTACGAAGATATGAGATTAGGTTTATAGGATATAACAAGGGCTCGAATCAAGCAAGATTTTGTGAGTGTCCAACGTCCAACCTTGGCTCAGTGAGGGTCAAGGCAGAAACCGACCGGGTGGCTCAGGAACAGATGGTTTCTCAGATCCCATTGCGACGTCATCGTTGCAAGAAGGTGGGGTTTGGACAAGTCTTGGCAACATCGCCTGGGGGCACGTGGAGGGTTGGTTCTCTCCCAGCGGCGCTGTTGCTGCGAAGTGCAATTCGCGGCTGATGCTCGAGGCTGGCGTGGAAGAATTGGCACTGCCTCCACTTGCAACCAAACGTCGGGTTGGAACCGTACACCATCACCGAAAAACACGGTTGTCCATCGATACTGGTTAGATATTGTGATACAGTGATAATAAGACCGATACCAGGAAACCCATCCGCTTCTACCTCCAGGATTGCCCCAACTCCTCGGAAACCAGCACCAGGTCCAGGGAGAAGTTAATGAAACAAAGAGCAAACACCGGCCCCAGCCGTGACAGAAGAGATGGCCGACTGCCGTCCAACAACACCTGTTTTCCTCCCCTGCGAGCCATCCGCTGCCCGCCTGCTCTCCCCTAAAAATTAACCAGGTATTGGTGTTGCGTAATCAGAACGGTTCATTGCGCACAAACCCCGCTCCTAGATCGGATGGCTAGGCTCAAGGCCGCATGAGCATGCACGCGGAAAGCCTTCTTGTCGGGTGATCGGATATCCCTCGGAAACGTGGCCGCTTAGGAAGTCTTCTTGGGCGCAGCGGCGCCATTGACGTACTTGTTGACGTCGGTGGCGCCGTGGAACTGTCTGGCCGTGCTTTTGACGCCGTCCCACACCTGGCGAGCCACGGGCGGGGTGCCCTGGGCGCCGATGAGGTTGTCGATGCGGGCCTCGAGCTGGGAGAACGAGCTCTGCACGTGGCTGCTCTGGGCAAAACGGGCGCGCAGGAAAGCAGTGTAGAGGGCGATCAGAATCCACGACCGGCGCTGGAAGAAAATGACGGCGAGGAGAAGGCGAATCCACAGGAGAATCTCGAGACTCGAGACCACCGACATGGACGAATCGTAGTATTGCTTGACAAACGACTTGATGGCTTCCGAAGCCGGGTGTTGGGTGAATTGCGGCTTAGCGCCCGGCGACGCACCGGCGGGCGAAGCGACCTTGGTGGGGGGGTTGAGGGTCGGCACAATGGTCGAGCCGACGTACGTAGCGACATGGAAGATGGAGTAAATTCCATAGGGGAGGAGGGCAAGCGGGTACTGGGGCATGAAGAGCCAGACCAACGCCATCACTGTGACCAATCAGTCAGCTGAGTCCCTCACGCGATGCAGGGCATGCGAGGTGGGGGACACATACCAAGGTACTGAACGTTCTCGTCGGAAAGGTAGCCCAAGACACCCCCGGGTTGCTTTGCGCCGGTCTTTTGGCGGGCGCGCCACGTCTTGTAAACTACGATCCCGTAGGTCCCAGCCGCCGAGAGGAAGGCAAAACGGTAGCAGAACTGGGCCACCCCTCCGTAGTAGTTCATGCGTATCCATGAGAAGGAGTATCGGAAGATGCAGAAGAGGAGAGCCGCATGTCTGCACAAAAAAAAAGTCAGCCACAGATACAATGTTGGTCGTCTCGGTAGCGCCGAGGAAGGAGCTTGCGTTGGCCCCAGCCAGCCCCTTAGCTAGCTGCGATGGGTCGGTGCTGAAGAGCTGGGAATGCAATCGACATACCCGGAGAACCAAGCGACTAGAGAAATAATCTCGGTCAGTTATGCGATTCGCACCAAAGCACGGTGTTGCCCTGGCCGTCGCGGGCGATGAAGGGTGCACACGTACATTGCAAAGTCAAGGCCACCCGCTGCAGCCTCTCGGTGAGCGGCAAGTCTGCTGGCGGCGGAGGAGCCATTATGCGCAGCTATGAGCTTCCGAGGTTGAGATGCTAGTCGATTGATGTAGTGCGGTTACCGTGCGTTGAAGCGCTTGGATTGCGGTGTTCTGTTGTTGGAGAGCTGGCAAAGGATGCTTGTGCCTTTGTTGTGGGGAATGGGAAAAGGTGGTGCTTTGGTCGCCAGGATGGAATTTGGCGATGGTCGGTGCGTCACTGCCAGCACCTGAAGGAGCTACAGGGGTGTGACGTCGCTTGTTTGGCGGTCAGCTCAGGCTGTCGTTGACAAGCCTCAAGAATTGTTCTCGCGATTCAGTGAATAACAGCAAAACTGTTGCGGTAATGGGAGATAATAAGGCGAGAAGCCAATTAATAAGAAGTCCGAAGTTGACAGCTTTCGAGATGAAGAACGAGCTGCCTGGGACTTGTCAGGTGCAAGCGTCACGGCTTGTCGTCATCAGCCAAGCTCCGCGTGAGCCCCACACGAGGTTCCGTGTCTTGGCATTCTGTACAGATGTCCCTACCAAAAGAATTGGCTCACCGCCCGTTAAACTGTTTGTGCCTATGGGGCTTTTTCTGCCAAGCAGAACCACTAAAATCCGGAAGGCGGTGAGCCAATTCTTTTGGTAGGGACTTCCGTACACAGCATGCTGATAGCAACAGAACGGGAGCGCCTCGGACCAGGTCATGGTCAAGATGATGGAACCTTCTGTACCATCCATACCGGGACAACTTGGCGCATCAGCTAGGTAAAATACGACTTCTCACGCGAGAACGAGAATTCGAGGACCGGTTGCGACCGAATTAGGAGAAAGCAATGATGCGCGTTGTTGCCTGGACGGATTCTACCACACCAGAAGGTGCCGTAGCGAGTGCAATTACAAGGCGCAACTGGGCACAACAAACTGGATGAAATTAACTGCATTAGACTGGGTGCAATAAGCTCAGTGTCGGGGCCCAGGGGACAGAAGTAGATGTTGGAAATTTGGAATTGTTCACAAGAAGCCGAAAACGGAAACGCAGGGAAACCCTGGGTGATGGAAAGGCGAACAAAGCCACAGGCTCAGTGTGTAGATAGGTGATAGGGGATTAGCTACCTAGAGAAGACCGTCCTCTCTATTTCCGGCTATGCTAGCATCTGCTAAAAAGGCTCTTGACGTCAGTGCTAGTCAGGTCTAACCGGCCCGAGATGGTTGAAGGCCGATAGAGAGATCGGAGGGGAATCGTGAGGAACGAGGGGGGTTTGTGGCGATGAATAGGAAAGCCGATGGGGAGATTGTAGGGGTCTAGGGGGGATTATCGGGGGCGATAGTTAAAGGCGAGTGGTCGCGACTGATTTGTACTTTTTGTAAATATTAACGTCCGACGAGTTGATTGTCGATGGGGAATTGGGGCGTCAGCCTCCACCGTAGTGTCTGTGTGGTTGTTAATAGCCACCGGCCTGGGTACCCGTACAGGGCTCCCATGGTGTGATGGTTCAATGCTAATAGGGAGACTGTAAGAGGGTTGCTGGGCCAAGGCAAGAAACATCCTGGCTGAGGTCTCTTAAATAAGCTCTGGGAGTATTATAATCACTTTGATTATCATTAACTAGTTAGTTAGTTATTACTTTTATATATTAAATACAAATATCCTCCACTGCAAAACCCAACAAAATACAAACCGTGGTGGCCGTTTTCCAGACGCCACTCCCAAACATCTCACTTCCCACCTACCTCACTTCTCACCTACCTCCTCATTCTACGCCATTGGTCCCCGTCCCACTCGCCCCCGTGGTAGCCGTCCCTCCGGCTAGGCGGCCACGGGGGCTCGGGAGAGGCGGGACGCGGCGACGGGTGTGCCCAGGCGGCGGTGAGGGGGGGCGATGGGGGTGCCCGGGCGACGGCAGCGGCAGCGGCGGCGGTGGGCGACAAGGGCCAACCTGACGTCCTCTCGGTCCGGGGGGGTCGGGCTCGACCAGGCCCGCCTGCGCTCCAGCGGGTTGGCCAGGATCCCGGCGTATACCCGGTCGGTGCTGTTCCGGGGTGCGAGGGGGCAGGGTGAGGGTGTCGAGGCTGCACCCGCCACAGTGGCGTCCATGGTCGTCGGCCTGGGTGCACGTGCTCGGCCTCCAGCATTTGGGACTGTGGCTGGAGGTGGGCGGATGGATTGGTGGCGGGAGGGTGCCGAAGCCTCGCCTGCCACAGTGGTGTCGGTGGCTCTCAACCTGAGCGGCCGCACCGAGCAGTCCGCACCCGTGGCGAGAGTTTGAGTCCGACAGGTTGGTGGGTGGGGGGAGGGTGCCAAAGCCTCGGCCGTCACACTGGGGTACATGGCTGCCAACCAGAGTGGTCGCAGCCGGTTTGTATTCTCAGTGAATGTCGAAGTCCGGCGTGCCGATCGCCGGTGGGGAATTGGGCCCTCAGCATTTGCCGCAGTGTCTACATATGCGTTAATACCCACCGACCTTGGTGCCCGTACTCTGTTCCCATTTTGGTCGGTGGTTGAACTCTGGCGGGGTTGACGGTGAGCGGCGGGTCGGGGCCTCAGCATCCACTGTAGCGTCTGTATGTCTGTTAATAACCACTGGGCCTGGGTACCCGTACTCGGGTGCCCATGTGGCGCGATGGTTGCAGTCTGTACGTCAGTAGCCGACGGTCCGAGTGCAAGTACTGGGTCCCTATCCGTGTTGATGGCCGAGGGCACAACCGTCGGGCTAGGAGTAGTACCGGCATTCAGGTTCTTTTCCTCGTCGTTATTCTTCCGAGCTTGTTGCCGTAGCTTGCGCCGCCGAGTGACGAAGAACCAATAGGCGAGTAGCGACAATAGACATATGCCGGTTGCTGTGACCACGATAGCAATGATAAAGGTCCGCGCAGCTACTTCCTGGGCCATGCTTTTGGCTTCGGGGTCCGCGGCCTTGGGTTGGCCCTCGGGGGACACGGCGCGTGACGACGCGACTTGGGAGGATACAACTTCAAAGGACGACATAGCGTTGGAAATGGTCGTAAGCTTTGTGATAAAACGATGAATATGGGCTCAGGGAGCTCAATGGTTGTGGAAATGTGAGGATGCAGACTCTGAAGGTAAGTTGGGTTGAGGATGTAAGAGTGCAGAATTCTCTGGGAAAGAGCTTAACGTGTGCAGGAAGATATGCATCGGACATGACAGAATTTTCCCAGAACATGTGACATATCGTGCTCACTGCTCAGACGTCCTCCCAAGGCAACTCTCAAGGCAACTCCCAAGGCAACCATGACACTGGACCTGCACCTACCGAACCACGACACCGGGGAATGAGTAAGGCATTCGTGATTTTGAGTCGTTGTCCTAAGCCGGGACTTGGACACCATCAAGATTGAGCGAGCTCGGAGACGGCGTTGACAAGACAGGACTAACGAACAGAACACTACCCTCACTGGCCAGGTTTGGGGTGGAATTCGCCTTCCAACGATGGTCTGTGGGTTAAATAAGGTAGGTAAGACCTAGACAGCACTGGATCGACACCTCGGCAAGAGCCGCAAGACCGCTCCCGTAGCCGCCGCTCCATCTTAGTAATCCGCTTCCGGCTGTGGGAAATCAGACCGGTGTGAAGCTAGAAAAATAAAGTGGGTTTGGTTCCTGCACCCAGATGGTGCCTGAGCGTCCTCCACGGTCCCACCTCGTTGACCGGCCGGTGTGTGATGACTTCACCGAAACTTGGCTTGGCGGCTTGACAATGGAAGACCTGGGTTCAGCACGACATTCACTTTCGAGCCCCAGTCAAAGGTCAAAGTTACAGAGCGATAAAAATTCTTAAGGCACTAGTTGGTGTCCATCTTCAGGGTGGGGGTCACTCGCTCGCACAGCGCACGCCGGACGGTTTAAACCGGAGGGGATTCACTGATGGTCAGGTTGGCGTTGTGAAACTCGAAACTCCTTCGGTAACAGGGGGTATGGCCAACCTACCAGCTAGATAGGTGGGGTATAAATTTTTGTAGGGTGGTAAACTGCTTAGGAATAATTCAAAGGATGATGACGGCTGGATGGACTGTTGTGCCAATTGTCTTGTTAAGACATGGAGTCCCATTTTTGTCTTACACAGGAGCAATACACTGCCGGCTGACCCCAGCTGTAGAGATTATTGGCCAGCTGGTAGAACGACACCCGACCCACTTGGAGTTGAAGAAGCCCGTTCCTTTCTTCCTATCACATCATCGATCGGGACAGCCCAGCTATCGTTGAAGAGTCAGTCTTCCCCCCGCCGAATCCGCCCAAACAAACAACTTCCCATATACCCCCATATCGACCAAAATGGCCACCATAGGCACCCTCCAGCGCCTCTCGGCAGCCTCGCTCTCCCAAACCCTCCTCGAGGCCCAAGAACGAGCCACATCCGGGGACCCCACCATCGCCATCATCGACGTGCGAGACGACGGTAAGTACCTACCTTACCTAAACCATTCCTTCACTACCTACCTCCTCCCTTCCCTTCACAAACCCCATCACCCCTCCAACCCCCAACCCAACCAACCACCACCACCCCAAGTCCCCAACCAAAAACCACCCACCCACCCAAAGCCCCAAACCCGCAACCCAAACCCAAACCCCAAACTAACCAACCCCCCCCTCTCCCCCTCCCACCCCCCACCAAACAGACTACATCGGCGGACACATCAAAGGCTCGCTCAACATCCCGTCGCGCACCCTCGACGCCATGCTCCCGACCCTGGTCCGCCAGCTGCAGGACAAGCAGACGGTGGTGTTCCACTGCGCGCTGTCGCAGCAGCGGGGACCGGCGGCCGCGCTGCGGTATCTTCGCGAGCGGGAGCGGATTGCGGGTGAGGGGGGGAAGGATGGGGTGGTGGAGCAGAAGGTTTTTGTGTTGGATCGGGGGTTTGTGGGGTGGCAGGAGGTGTATGGGGAGGATGAGCGGTTGACGGAGGGGTATCGGAAGGAGTTGTGGGAGGATGGGTATTGGGGGTGAGGTTGGGGGTTGGAGGGTGGTGCTGCTTTCGTGGTTTAGATAGGTACCTAGGTACGTTGAGAGATGGCGCGGAAACACACCTCGGAGCAGACGCGGGGCCCGGGAGTTTTGCTACCTATGATTCTGGTGAACCCTGGATTGCTGTACAGAGTGACACTTGGCGAAAGGGAAATCAAGACTGTCGTAGGCATTGGCTTGATATTGGAAATGTTAACAGCAGCTTCCGCGATGAGTTTGATTCAACTGAGCGAGGGTCTTTGGTCACAGGTTACAATCCATATCACATGCTGGTAATTATAAAACGAAGAGGCCAAGAGCAATGTTGGGACGACTCGGAGGTCGTGGTTGAATTAAAATTATCTGCGCGCCAGCCCCCATCATGAAAACATGATCATCTTCCGTCTAAAGCCTGGTGTACATAACTTCCATGTATCTCTGCACTCGGGTATCCGTCTCCTCGTCCATCTCCATCCACCACATTTCGAGCTTAGAGGACGACGGCAACGACGCCAATGAAGGCAGCGGCGGCAACAGCAAGGCCAGCAACGCCAGTGTTGCGGTGGCCAGCGTTCTCATCACTGTCACTGTTGCTGTTGTTGTTGTTGTTGTCGTTGTCGTTGTCGGAGCCGCCCGAGGTGTCGTCGTTGCCGTCGCTGCTGCCGCCGCTGTTGCTGCTGTCGGTGCCGCCGGTGCAGCTGGGCAGCTGGATGTCATTGGTGAGGCTGGCCATGTCCGGGCACTTGGACATGGCCGAGCTGACCTTGGCGCTGTTGGCGGCGGCCCACGAGGACCCCGCGCTCTGGAAGCTCGAGACGACCGGCTGCAGCGACGCCGGGTACGTCATGCTGCAGAAGTCGGTCTGCGTCTGCGTCATGTAGAAGGACTGCAGCTCGGGGGGAGGGGTGGGCATCCCCTTGTAGGCCGACGAGATGGCCGAGGCGCACTCGGCGTAGTCCTCAACCTGACGCTCCTGCACGTTGTTGGGCAGGGCGCTGACGGCGACGGCGCCGCTGAGGGCGATGAGAAGGGTTTGGGAGAGCATTTTGGCGGTTGGTTTGGGGGTTCGGTTTAACTTGTTGAGCTGCGCGAGTGCGGCGGTCTTGTAAAGGAGCGTGGATATTGAAGGAGTGACGGTGTTGTGAGGATGGGGAAAAAGGGGTTCGGAAAGTCGACGGGAGAGAAGCAAGGCTTAAATACACGACTTCCTTTTTCCATAGCTCGCTCTTTTCAGGGACCACCACAACGGTTTTCTCTTCATGGCCAGCCACACCCTGCCTGGGCTTAGTCCCGCCCAGATTCCCGCCTTTGGGTTGATGATTCGGGCGCACACCGAGACGCGATCTGCCTACCAAGCCAGTGGGTAAGGATCCTTTGCCCATCCCGCTCACGGCCGAAAAGTTGATGACCCGAACGCTTTTCCAGATCGAGGTTAATGCTCGTCAATGATAGGCTGGAAACCTCTCGACGTGGGCTGGGGTGCCGGGATGTCCTGATCAGCTCAAACCTTCTCCTCAGCCCAGGTGGACTTCAGGGAAATGAGCCGCTTGGCGGATTTCGCAGTCGTGCCTATTTTGGGTGATTTGGAACTGCGCCGCATCGAGATTCGATGTAAATGGATTGCTGTTGTTCAGTTGTGTTCTTGGCTTATATGCATCTTGAATCTTCCCATGGCAGTATGGCAGTGTGTATCATGTCTATCATAGCGACACCGTCACCATCTTTGGATTTATTATCCATTCACCATATCAAGGACAGAATTCGTGACCCTTTCAGCTTTAGAGTGAGAACGCGGAGGCAGCGGAGCGCGATGCCCCAGTCTCCACTGCGCGGGGTCGATCGAGGTGGAAATAAGCTTCCTCAGGGGAATCCTGGAACCGCCCCTCTCGACTGTCGATCAATGGCAAGCCAACTGTCAGATTCGGCCTATTTCACGCCGTTTCCGAGAGCACGGTTCAGAGATTCAGCCTGTTCTGAACAACTCGAAACGTGACACAAGACCATCACAATCTCAATTCCCCAGACGCGTCGACCAATAGAACCGATCATGGATGGAAAAAAGAACCTTCACACCGACATTTTCGTTTCTTGCTTCCTGAGCCGCTGCCACTGCATTGAGTGGCTGACCACGTGGGGTTGGGGATGTTTCCGCTGGTGATGGCCCGTTGCCTCGCACAACCTGCGAGGACACACGTTTTTCTTTTCCCTTTCTTTTTTTTTTTCACCTCCACCAGACAGTTACATGACCCCAGCTCTCTTTGCCTGGCCTTGATGGTGAGCAGGCAGTGCGAGTGTGGAAAATCCGCCAGGAGGTTTTGGAGCATGGTCGATGGGAAAAACGTTCGGCGTGGTTACAGTGGCGTCCACGGCCATAGTTACAGTCCCAAGTCTTGGGCCAGCCAGGTCGCCATGGTTCAAACCAAAGACCGCCGGTGTTCTGCATTCGAATCTAAGCAGGCCGGTCTGCGAGGCCGTTTCAGATGGCCATTTGGTGAGTTGGTTGTTTTCAGGTATTAATATTTGTCGACACGGCACGATAAATGTTCGCTTCAAGTTTGGAAAAGGGGGTCACTGTGCCCCGTTTCGGACGCAACAGCCGGCCAGCAGCTGGGCTATTTGTGTTTGTCTCGCCACATATATTGTTGAGTTGGCGGCGACAGCCATTTGTCCATGCCAGCCTTCCGCCGCTGCTCTGCATCCACCCAAACCAACGCCCTTGGACCCGCCTCCGACAGCTGAATCCGTGCCTTTTATTTCTAACATTTGCTCTGCAAGGGGTGCGGAATTTGGGGGCCTCTGGTGACCACGCTCCGTTTCAGCTTCAGCGTTAGGTTTTTCGGTTATTTCTTCGCTCACAGTTCAATATTGGCCTCTCGCCAACGGCAGGATACTTCTCAGATAATCACCAAGCACTTGTGAATTTATGGGTCAATGCTACACGAATGGCTTCTGCCCCGTTTCAGTCTTTGATGTGTGAGCGTGCCGCTGAATTCTCGTGGATTTGAGGCCCGGAGAGAAGCAAATGTCAGCTATATGTAAGGGGAGATGCAATCAATCTAGCAGTTCTCCAGTGGCGAGAAGGTGGTAGTCGCCCTTTAGCGTGCTCTGCTTCGGCCTCCGCCATTCAACCGTCTTTTTTCCCAGGGCCAGAGCTTGGGACCGGTCCACAGGCGTCCAGGTCTGTACCTGTCTCACGGCCCCAGTGCTGGTCGTATACTCTCCAATTGGCATTTCCAGGATTGGCCAGTCAATACACTCAGGCGCGTCCGTGTAAACGGTGACCTTCTTCCCTTCCGCGCGCGTCTTCAACCATGCGTTCAGGAGCGAACGGTACTCGGCAACCGGGTGGTCGAGCGTGACGTCCGGATGCTGCACCCACTCGATATCTTGTATCAAAGACACATCGAGCTTCTCCCAGTCCTCTTCCCGGAAATGGAAGTCGCGCGTGATCATCTCGTAGATGGTGAAGACAACGGCTCTCACGTCATCCCGAATGTCCCTAACCTCGAGGTTAGTCGTAGACAAATGAGAAGATGAGGATGATGGTTTGGCATACCAGTATGATAAGAAGAGGGGGCCTCGACCATGGCCAATCTGGGCTGAATAGTCGAAATCAAATAGCATGATATTATCCGTAGATTCATCGACTAGCAGATTGCGTGGGACAATGTCTTGGTGGGCAATGCCATATCGCAAGTTCAAGTCGTCAACCAAGGCCATGAGTTGTTTGCACCACTTGAGCTTGAAGGTGCGGGACACATTGTCTTCGAGGGTGCCACCAGGGATGAAGATGGTTGTGAACCCCACGACACCGCCTTGCACTTCGTCGAGCACGAGGCGATCAATGGGAACGATGTTGGGATGATGGGACAGTCGCAGCCAAAGATTCATCTCATCCCATATCTTTCCCACAAATTGAGAATTCCAGTAGTACTTGAAGACGGCCGTTTTGGTCACGGACGCCTTGCTGTCGTCGGATTCGGCCTGATACGAGACCAGGTCGACGTTTCCAATGAACCGATCCAGTTCTCGCAGCTCGGAGCGGAGAATGGTTCGAACGCCTGCTGATAGCTGAATGAGGTTGAGTTGAGGGTAATAGACGCACTCGGTTACGTCGTTGATAAGGTCGGTCGAAACAGAGATGATACAGCCATCAGGCGCCAGGTGGATCAGCGTCACGTCACGGCCGAGCCCATCAACGTGTTTTTTGAAGTGCTCAAAAGCAACCTCTTCTGTCTCCTGCTCCTCGTCCATTTTAATCGTGAACATACGTCGTTGATCAACATCACAAATCCACCACTCGCTGGGGCCGCCTGGAGTGACAGAGCCTCCTGCAGGCCAAAACCTGAAGTCCTCGTCAACTGGCATATTCAAGTTAGAGACGCGCAGAGTATGCGTTAGCCAGTAAATTGAGGTATTTTGGGTATCCGACGTGGTCAACAGTGTACTTGAAACGCGGCCGGGTCAGGTTAATGAGTTGGAAAATTCGAATTGGAGGTCCTTAGTAAATTCTTCGATGGAGATGCAGCTCGGACGCGAAGGGTGGGGGCAAATATCGGTTGGTTCAGCCGCGTACCATGCGAGAGTGCTGTTGGTTCATGGCTGTTTGAGGGACCATATCTAGTAGTTAACGGAAATAGGAAAGGGGGGCTCATTTTGGGGGCTCATTTTGGGGGCTCGTTGCAGGTCTCGAGCGGCCAGGGCATGCAGGGGAGGGGTTATGGTTGCCATTGTGTGTGTGTGAACTGCCAACACTGTTACATCCCACCCCTTCTGAGTCCCGTCCCTTGCAGGGGGTGCGCCAACACCGACAAACGAGTCGACGTTTCTCACCCAACAGCATACGATTTGTGGCAGAGGGGCAACGCAGGTAGATACTTAGGCCAGGTAGGTACTTAGCAATATGGCTGGTACTCAACTGATTGAATCAGGTTCCTGAGATACCTAATTTATACAACTACGCCCCCTGATATCACCCGAAACCGAATTCTACCACGGTCTAGACACCCGCCTCACGGTTGCCGCTTCCAGACCCGGCTCTGCAGGTCGCTGGCGCCACGACAGTCTCAGACCTGCTTCGGGTCGGTAAGCAGAAGGCTTGCCGGGCTAGGCGATCTTGATTCTTGAGCTGGGACATTCGTTGCTGTGTTGGTCACACAAAGTGCCCAAGTGAGAATGCAAGGAACGCCGACAGAAAGCCTGATCCGTGCATATAGGTACATATACCTCTAGCTTCGAGCAACCGCAAGTTCGAGGTTTTCTGTTTTGATATTTTCTCGAACCAGTGTATTCAACCCCGTGCTCCTACCATTTGTTTTTATCCCATGTCCCCTGATTAGACAAAACCTTTTGCTTTTGCCCTTGCCTAAGTATTCTCAAAACCAAGATCGGAAGCCGGTTAACGTCGTATATACCTCCTGTATTCTGTTTTCCTCAGCTCGCTCGCCCCCCGGTTCCCTAGCTAGACCACGATGGAATACGCTGGGCTCAATGATTTACAGCATTACGTCGATAGGAACCTCATCCGTGGCCAGCACAACCCTCACAATTGTGTTTGCGGCTGGTACTGCTTTACGTACGCCAATTGCTCACACATTGCCAAAAGGTTCGAAAAGAAATGCGGCATGACACGCTCTAAAACCTGCAGGATCGTTTTCTGCCGGACGCCGCCACCAACTCACATCATCGCCACGGTGAAGGCCAGGCCAGAGCACGCCTGTCCGGACAAAGACTGCATATCCAGCGTCCTGGCTACAATGCCCGACCCATTAGCCGCCATCAATTTCGACTTCTCAGCTGTCCCGTAAGTTACGCCCACCACGCCATGGACCTCACCATCTCGCCGTGAAAAACAACAAGGTCATGCCAAACTTACTACTAACCGACCCACAGCGCCCCCAACTCTCCAAACCCTCCGAACCCCCCGAACCCATTCAATGGCGGCGGTGCCTCCCGACAAAGTAGCGTTGCTCGATCATCGCCCGGCCCCGGCAGGCAGTCCTCCTCCACTGCGGGACACTCTCTCGCTGGACGATCAGTGTCCCGGCCAAGCGTCAGGATCCCGACACACCCTCAGCCCCAGTCCCAGCCCTCGCCACGAAATCAAACCCAGCCCCAGCCCCAGCCGCAAAGATCTCAGCCCCAAAGACCTCAACCCCAAAGACTCCAATCATCAAGCTCCCAATCCCCGAGCTCTCAGACCCCGACCCAAACCCAAACCCAGAGGCCCCAGAGATCCCAACCCCAAGCCCAAGCCCAGCAGGCCATGCCGGTGTTCCACCATTACCAACCGGGCCGCCAGTAGCATGTAGGTCCGAGTCGGCCGACGCCGCAATCTGTGAGATAGATGGGTTGATTCGGTGGTGGAGAGGAGGGGAGCGGCGGCCACGTCCCCGTCTTCATCTTTAGGGGGACTGGGGATCGTCGTGGGCGGTGTGTGCGCGGGTTGGGGTTCGAGGGGTTAGGTCGATATCGAGGTTCTCGGTTGGTGGGAGGATGTGATATTGACAGGGAAGGAGTGGTGGGGGGTGGTGTTTGGTGCTTTACGGTCTGTAATGGGTCTGATGAAGGATTTTTGGTTTTCTTGCATTTGGCTCGGTTTGATTTATATTTCGGAGGCTGCGTCGGCCAAGACATCCGACGTCCTTGTCTTTTGGTTATAAGGCTAGACTCAGGAGGCTGAATCACGGGTCCCCGCCCTCGCAAACTGCGCGCAGCTCGGCAAGCCACGTTTCTCTCTGCTGCCGCTTCATCTTCACCACCTCGTCCGTATTCCACGACCAGAATCGAGACAATAGCTTGTCCTGCTTGAGTGACAACGGTGTGTTAAAATGTACCGTGTCGAATGTGCTGCTCGAAGAGTGTACATGCATTTATGAGTCGAGGCACCAGAAGAACCAGTTGGATCCCGGACGCCCCCGTGGATCGCAAGGTGTGCGAAAGTAGAGCATGCTGATTTCCTTTACCTACCGCGACGAGCTTCTCTTCTTCCTCCCCGAGCAGCGATAAAAACTCTTCCCTCACCTCAGTGTATTCTTTTAGCGCCTGTTTATCCTCCGGGTCACCGACCTCGTCGATCCCCTTGAGCGTGATCCAGTAAGGGACATCGATCATCCCAAGAGGGCGACAACACATCCACTCGAGGTCCACCAGGGCGGTAATGTTCCAGTCATCGTCTACGAATATGTTGCTCTGGTGGAGGTCGGTGAAATGCGGCGCGAACGGCTGCGAGCGCGGCTTGAGGTAGTGATGGGAAATCATCCGCAGCAGCCCGTGGACGGCGAGTTGGTAGTGACAATCCGTGTCGTCCCTGACGGCGTTCGGCTGGGCTAGTAGACGGCCGTCGTGTTGGGTCAGCAGGTCAGAAATGTACGGCTCTGCGCATGGATGCGTCTGGTCCCTCGCCATGACGCGGGACGCGCCGCTGCTCTCCAGTATCATGGTGCTGCAAGACAGTGGTCTGTTTGAAAGAGAGATGGTGCCGTCGTCGCGGAATGTGAGCGAGCCGATGCGGACCTGCGGGAAGCGTGCAACAGAAAGGATGATGCGTGCCAGGCCCTGGAAAAGGTTCCGCCGCCTGACTGGATCATGGCGTTTGGCGTCCCACGTCTCGGACAGCATCCGGCCCCGTGTGGGTTCGATGAATTCGAGGAGGTGCAGGCGGTCGGCTGGTCTTGAATACGAACGTAGGGCGAGGGAGCCGGCAGATTCAAGAGTGCGCAGGCACGACGGCGGACTGACCATGCCCATTGGTGGTAGAAGGGCCGAGAACTTATATGGGTAAACTATCGAGCCCGCACGAGTCACTCAAGGATACATTGGGGGGCGCAGATGAGCGTTTACGGTCATGACCTACGTTTGAACCGCCGGGGAAGCCGAAGCCTAAGAGGTTGGGGATCGGAACTTCGGGGCAATTCTTCTGTATCCACACATAGGCTGCCACTTCGCACCGCATTTTCTCATCCACGGTCCCGGGATAGCGGTCCTCGGCGAGTGCGAGCGCAATTCGAGGGTCGCGGCCTTCCACCGCATCTCTTGCAAAACATCATCCTCGCCTTGTGCGGCGGCCTTGTATGTGAGGGGCGCACTTTCGGTCATGCAGGGCGCGTCCTCGAGGGAGACAAAATTACAAAATCAAGAGAATGCCGGGAATCGCGACGGGACTTTGGTGCGGCAGGCGCGTGAGGCGGTACAGGCGGGTAATTAGCTACCTTACCAGGCAGGCACCTCGGCCTATTACGGGATGGAAGAGGAGACCGCCGCGATCTCACGTGATTAGATTTGGACCAATTCCGGTCTAGGTTTTGCGTGCACGGCAGTTAGAAGCAATCCTTTTCTCATTTCTCGCTTGGAGATTCAAGAAGGAGCGACAACCGTGAGGCCGTGACAGCCGGGCCACATTGACAGACCACGTCCACGGCCAACACTCCTCGCTTCTCCACGATGCGGCTCAACTCTTGACGATTCCGAATTCCCTACCGTCCCCGGTCGAGCGATCATGAGCTTTTCAAGGCGAGGTGCAGGCAAACTTAGGCAGCCATCTGCAGGAATGACTCCAAGTCTCCCAACAAGTCCATTCCCTACCCGCCGGCTCGCACCTAGCAAATAAAGTCCCCACGGTGCGGCTCGGCCGACATGGGGCAAGATCACCATGACTTGAGCCTCCATCGGAAGCGCCTCGGGAGTCCTTGAAGGTCAAGCTAGATTGGGCCAGGATGATTGGGTGTTTAACGACCTCGGCCTGGTCTGCTATATATACTTTGTCACAACCGTCCACTCGGAAGTTTGGCCCACGTTCCAAATCAAGCGGTTGACTGGTGATGTAGCCACTCGGAGAGCGTGGTATTAAATCCTCCTCATCACCTTAGTCACAGCGTTCCGACGATTGGATCCTCCCCCACGGCGGGTCAGGCTGCCCTCCGGCCTCCGTTCCCGAGAGCAGGCTTGTGTCATCTTCTCGTTACGCAATCCGCGCAGAGCCGCAAACATCCTGTCCCATTGTTTTTTATTATGCAAGACGGTCCAATCCTCGCCATGGGGTTGTATGAGACCTTTGCGAGCCAATGGTGCTCCCAGTGGGTTGTCGGGGCAAGTCTAACATTGGTCGGCCCGGATGCAAGGGAGGGCAGATGACCCCATTTCCCCAATCAAATATACAGAACTTATCTGCACGTCTTTAGCCCCGTCATTTGCACTTCTCAGTGGAACTCTTGTTCCTTGTCAAGATTGAGGCTCTGCGGCATTGCACGGTGCCGGAGCCGATGATGGTAGATGGGGAGCTGTTGAGGGCCGACTTGGTGAAGATGAGGCTCTGCGGTGCATGGATATTTAATCAGTGGTAATTCAGGGAAGAAAAGGATCCGGTTGAGAGCATGAAATTCATCACCCAGCGCTTTTCTCGGTCCTTGAGGAGCGAGCTTCCAAGGATTTAGTCCCAGTCCCTAGCTGGCAATCAACACTTACACAGAAATCACACCTTTAACCCTAACCCCTGACCTCTCCTGAATTCAACCCCTGATTCAACCCCTGAATCTGCATCAATCATGGCCGACAGGTTTTACTCCCGCGGGTCATACTCCCGCGAGTCCAGCCCCCATCCCTCCCGCTACGAAGCCGAGGAGGCTGTGGATAACGTCCCCAGACCCAACATCGAGTGGATCCCGTCGATGAAGACGTTTCAAGACCGGGTTGCACATCTCCAGGCTCTCTATCCCAACCGTCGCACCACCGTCCCCTACGGATGGCCCGCCCGAGTCGACACAGCCCGAGCCTGGACCGGCTCCGATTTTAACTCTGACGACGACTTTGTCCTCCACCTCGGTCCTGAGGACATTGCCGAGATTGAGGTTGCGCTTTCCCACTTCAAGAGTAAGTCCTTCACGTTTCTTTGTGCCCTATACACTATATCGCCGACATGGCTGACTCGCAACCATCAGGTCTTGACCTCGGCCCAGATGACGCTGACCCCAACACCTTCCCGCTCCCGAACCTAGGTGACCGGCTCTTCGAGGCCTCGCGAGTTATTCACGAAGGCCGGGGGTTTGTCGTGCTACGTGGCCTTGATCCAGACAGGTACACGTCATTTGACAACATCCTCCTCTACCTAGGCGTCACAAGCTACATTGCCGCAAAGCGTGGGATGCAGGACTTTGATGGGCGGATGATTCGTGCGTTTGCAAACCCCCATTATCTCCCCAACGGTCGCTGACACGGTCCAGTCCACATCCAAGCCGTCGTCGAAGACGTCAAGAAGCATGGCGCCATGCCCAACTCGCCCTACGTTGCTCGCGCCCAGGTAATTGGATTTATCATAAGAGGTAGAAATAACTCGCCGCTCTAGCTAACACACACCGTCATCCGATGCACAGCCCTTCCACACCGACCTGTGTGATGTCCTCGGCATGTACGCTCTGAACGTAGCCGCCTACGGAGGCGAGTCCTACCTGGCCTCGTCGGCCACGATATACAACGAACTGGCCCGCGCCCGCCCGGATATCATCGAAATGCTGGCCAAGGATGATTGGATCTTTGACGAGTGAGTCTCCCTCTCTCATCCCCACATCCCTATTCACCCCTGACCCACACCCATATACTCACCAACCCCTTCCCCCCCCACGCAGATTCTGGGAAGGCCAATACCACATGCGCCCCCTGCTCTACAACTTCGATACCCACGGCCCGGGCTTCCAATTCTCGCGGCGCCCCCTCACCGGCTCGCACTTCTCGCCGCACCACCCCTCCGTGCCCGCCATGACCGAGCTGCAAGCCGAGGCCCTCGACGCCGTGTACTTCCTGGCCAAGCAGCACGCGGTGGAGATCCGGCTACAACCCGGCGACATGCTGCTGTTCAACAACTTCGCCATGCTGCACGCGCGCAGCGGCTTCACGGACGATGCCTCCGAGGGCCGCCAGCGCCATATGTTGAGGCTGTGGCTGCGCAATGAGCAGCGCATGTGGAAGACGCCGAGGGAGTTGGAGAGGATTAGCTGGGAGTGTTATGGCGATCATGAGTGGAGGCGGAACGGGGTGTGGGATATTGAGGCGAGTCCGCCCGAGTTGAGGGTCAAGCATCGGCGTGCGAGTTGTGCTTGAGGTTTGAGGGGTAGATGGACTGGCTGGGGGGATGGGGGGTGTTGGTTTCTTTGGTTTGCGTGTGATCTAGCAGTTTGTCTCTTTTTTTTTTCTCCTTTCGTCTCTATTTCCCTTTCTTCTTTTGAGAAGAGGGAACTGCTTGCCATTTAGCTCTTTTCCTTAACTAGGGGCTTGTTGCTCCTTGATCCAAGAGTTCAAGTCTCGGTCTGTCACTTCCAACATACATGGTAAATATGGTATTTAAGGAAACCAGCAACAGCTGATTTCGGCAGATGAAAGATTGGAACTGAAAATAACTGCCAACCCGACCCTCCTTCCCCATTCAGTTGCAGCGCTGCTCTCAGATCAGTCAGATCAGTCAGACCCTCCTGATCTGAACCGATTGATTCCCTCGGCCCTTGAACTGGATTGAACTGAACTGAACTGACATACAAATGCAGCTATTCGTAACCCTGCTGCCCCTTAATCGATCCCCAACCCGGACTGCTGCCCATCATGACTCCTCCGATGACGATATCGCCGTTCCTAAGCCAGTTCTTCAGCATCTGAAGCATCTCGATAGCCTCCCACTTCATTGCATGCCTCTGGGAGCTCAGAGTAAGCTTGGCAATGCTAAAGGACCTCTCGCAGTCAGCTGCCATGGCCGGAATAGCGAGAACGTCAAGGGCCATCTGAGACAGCTTTAGGAACCGAGCCCTATTACCGATCCACCATTCAACCGGATCGACGTTGCCCCCAACCTTCATGTTGTAGTACCGGTCAATCTCGTCCTCGTTACCCTCTTCATCGGAACTGCTTCGCGATGGTGCGCAGTCGAGATCGAGGGTGGGGGAGGAAGACTGCTGCAACGTTGTTGGCATCGTCTGTAGCAGAGGCTGCGTAGCTGCTCTGTGCAGCAGTCGACATTGCGAGGTTGGGTTAACTTTAACTGGATCAGCCTCAGTGGTCGTCACACATACGCACACACACGCGCGTACAAACAGTGGACAGAGCGACGCGCGGAATCCGCAATTTGGCTCGAGACAGGGGGTGTTCTGGTCCGGAAAAGTAATACCCGACTTATTCATCCACCTCTCCACCATTAACACTCAAAATGAAGGGATTCGGCGCCTTGACCAAGGGCCAAAAGTACCTAAGGTAAAGATAACAATCAGATTGTCAGATTTGTAAGGTGCCTCATCTGATCCGACTGATCTGAAGAAATGGCCGATCTGAATCGACTGGACTGCTCTGGATTGATAGATCTGATCTACAATCTGATCTTTGAGCAGCGCTGATTAGAACCATGCCTCTATCTCCAGAGTCTTGTCCAATCCCTTGCTCGTGTAATATCTCTTAGATCTTTCGGTCCGTTATCTCTCATCTCCATTCCTCCTTTGTCCTTTTACCCGTTGCCCCCTTAACGCCTGATTTGCTTCACACATCTACCGTTGGATACATCAAAGTCGAATCTTGCCATCCCCACTCCGAAGATAGATTCCACCGTGCAACATGGCGAGACGGTACCATACAGCAGAGAAATGACTGAGCTTAACCAACCCACGCCTGTGACTTCCAAAGATCCCAAACTCCTACCCGAAGCCAAGGGTATCCCTCTCCAAAGACCGGCCCAAAGCCAACATAACACCAAGCAAATTTGCGTTGCCGCAAGACCTTTATTTTCTACGCCTCAGATTTCACCCCCAGGTGGTTTCCCTTTCTGCTTCCGTCTCGCTTTCATCGAGCTCTTCCACGACATGTACAGGCGAGGTATCAAAGCTTTCGGTATACAGTTGGCCGGTCCAATACAACGTCCTTTCGTACTTGTGCGATTTCCTCAAACGGAGGACATCTGGCTCTGCGCGCCGAAGGTCAGTTCGAACGGCTGGAAACAAAAAGTAAGCCAGTGAAGAGGCTGGGAGAACATACCTCTGGCCCTGACTATGGCCTGGGTCTTCTGCATGAGCTCAACCTGACTCTGATCGAGTTTGGCCATGACCGCTAAGCTGGGCGACGTCCAATCCATTTTCAACGGAACGGATCCGTTACATGCAAAGTGGAAGCGGGCGAGAATGGACTTGGCTGTGTGAAAAGCGCCTTCGAGGAATTTGATGTTGGAGTATTTACCCTGCCCAAACTAGGTTAGCGATATATCCAATCTCGAATTGCAATCACTGCCACCCACCGGCATTGTGTGTGTCTTGGCGTGGTCGACGGAGTGCTTCGCTAGCCGCTCGATGTGGTTGGTTAAGATGAAGGCAGAGAGGTAAATCTCCCACCAAGACTCGCGCTTGGCAGGGGTGATGAGGCTCTCAAATTTGTCGATAAGCCTCTTGCGTAAGGGCGTGAGGATATTCTTGATAACGATTTGGTCCAGCTGGGTATCCATGATGGGCGGGATCGGAATTCGCCCTTTGTGAGGACTCGTGGCATCTGTCACCGGTGAGACGCCAAGGGTGTCGGGTCCGCACATCTCCCAGGGAATCTCGATCATTCGTGAAATGGCCCAAAGGTCGAGAGAGTCGGCAACTAGAGATTTCTAGGCGAGTTAGTAGAGGAATATGAGTTCAGCACCACAGTACTTACTGGATTTCGTTGAGCATATTCCATGCCCGCGGAAATGGTCATCGACACGAGCTCATCGTCACTTTCGAGGTACGCCCATTTGGCTGAGCCGATGTACTGGCATATATGGTGGTGTATCTTTTCCAGGTTTGTGAGGCAGTAAAGCGGCATGTTTAGCTCGTGTAATTCTCCTGTGCGATCGGTCCACTTGTAAGAGATGACATCACCGGATGATGGCACAAACTCGGAGGCGTAAACTGTTAACTGATGGAATCCGATGCGTTGCGTGAGCTTCAACATCCTCGCGGGAACATTTGGCTTGGACAGGTCTCCGAGGTCGGTTGAGTCTCTCAGTCGTTCGGTGAAGAAGGGCTCGTTTGGCGCCGGGCCTTGAAGCTTGTCAGTGTTTTGAATCACGATAAAAGCCATGGTACTACAAGGGCTGAGGCGCAGGAGACACGAGGGGAGAGCAGGCGGCTGCAGGGAGATGACTGTAGAAAAGATAACTCACCCGACCGGAAAAAGAGAATGTCTGTTAAAGTCATCCTGAAACAAGGGAGTCGAGGAGCGTTCTTGTAGACCCTGTGCTCTGTACAAAGAGTACAACTAACATAGGGGCTCTCCTTTTGGGCCAAATCACACTGAGGGATGGGTTAGCGCCCGTCGTCCGAGGCCTGAAGTGGGGTACAAGTACCTGTCTTTTGGATCTCTTGCATCTTGGGCAAACCCCTTTGCGTCTAGCTAGAGCTGTCCGTTGGCGCTTCTCCTCGTTAAAGGGAGCCCTCGTCTTGGACCGGTTCCCAAACGTCATCATGATCCCCTTGACTTCTCCCAGGTGGTCGCACACCGGTACTTGGCGAAGAGTTTGGGAAGCCATTCCCTGGGGCGCGATTTCTTCCGTGGCCGGCCGTTTTCTCGACGACTTTGCTTCCGTACTGCTGGGGGGTTCATACTGAACAATTGCCAAAGGTGTCGACGGGGTTTTGGCTCGGCGTGTTGGCCGGCGTTTCGCTGACGGAGAGAAAACCGGAGCGGTAAGATTCGGGGTTGTGGCATCTGTGGATACTGTCGAACTGGATCGCTCGTAGTAATGACCACCGGCGGTGTCGTCGACCATGGCGTTAATCCATGGGGAAGTAGGGCCCTCGTTCAAGGACCCAAAGGCTCCATCACGAGGGGCAGGATTGAACGGATGGAATGCGTCGGGGAGGTTGGGAGGAGAGAGGGAATATGAAGAATTCCCGTCGGATAGTTGACTCAACCCCGGGGTAGCAGGCGGCATAAACGCAGCAAAAAGTTCCGTCGGAAGGAGTGCCGGGTTGAACGGGGGTTGCGGCATGTCCAAGGCCGGAAGCGATCCATTATTAACCGGGCCTCCCTCCGAGTTCGCGGGGAAGGAAGGCCAGTCTGTGGCACTAACGGAGCCGGCTGGGCCGGCGGGAGGGAACCCGTCCGGCGCGGACGAAACTGGGGTTGACAACGACGGCCTTCGGGATGGTACGTTTGGGGCATAATATTGACGGGCGGCGACCTGGGCGGGCCCCGGCGGATGTGCGGCGGGAAACGAGTGGGAGATCAAATCGATTCCGGGCCGGATGCGCGGGGCCCCTCGGGTTGCCTGCGATCGACAGGTCGGCGGATTGGCGGCCAACTCGGTGTTGGGATTGGCGAGAGGATTGCCATGGTGGTCTAACTCTGCCGCAGGGATGAGGAACGATGCGAGGTCCCAAAGCGCGTCGGCGACAACCTCTTCAGGCTCTCCTTCCCTATAACGCAATCCGCTGTCGGGATCTGGGCCGGGGTACTCCATGTCTCAGACTGCTGGTTCATGGATGACACGGACAGTCAGGAAGGACAAACAAATGAGACCAGAGTCACATCGGTAGTCCCGCTTCCGGGCGTGCATCCAGAGTCCGTCATATGTCTGTGGGATGCTTGTGGGATGTCTTCGGGGAAGTTTGCCGCAATGCGGGAAGGAAGTGCGACACGCCTGGGCCGGTCTGGTGCAGCTTTGGGTCACCGAAAGAGGGCGTCGGAGGCCGCGGTTGCTGGCCCAATCATCGCGCCTTTCCTCATGAGCACCGCATTGCCATTTTCCCTCACCGTAATTCCGAGTTTGGGTTAGTGCTCTGCAACCAAGCAGACCAGGGCAGACTTGTCAAGTTCAGAAAGCGCACCAGCCAGGCACACTTTCTCGCTTGCTTGTTGGGGACCTGGGGTCAAGCTATCTATGGAATTGCCAAAATCGATGGTGACGGGAAGTTTCCCGGATAGGTTCTTTTTTTCTCTTCCCGTGACTTGAGATACATCAGACATGTCTGGGCATGTACCAACCACGGTCGTTTGCCGGCCCCCAAAACGCAGACTGGCAGACACAGCCCCCAATGAAGACGCGGCGAGCTGCGCGGACGAGGCTCAGAATTCAGGGGCAAAGCTGCAAGCAAGCTAGGCAAATCGGTAGTTAGCTGCACCTTCCTGAAATCCCTCTTCCGTCACTGCCACGGCGTTGGCTGTGGAATTGCGGCGAACCCGAAGCGTTTCACACCATGACCGCGTCACGCACGAGCATTTTTCACCGCATGCATCACGATGCATGGGCAACACAAAGCCAACAGTGCGCCAGCGAGGCTCCAAGTGTCCCCAATAGTCTAGTTAAGGCTCCCTCGCCCGCCCTGAACCCCAGGTTCGCCTTGCGTTTCCCGGGCCGCCAGCGAAGTCCTCCTTCTTGCTTCCCCCCCAGACGTACTAGCCAGTCAGCCTTGCTCGACAAACCTTCGCAATGAGACCCCGATTGGGTCTTCCAACCGATATTGAGGCGGTCACCAACGTCATTATTAAGACCATGCCGCTTGACCCACAATGGGACTACCGCTTCCCGTACCGGCATCAGTACCCCGAAGATCATCATAGGTATACTCGAATGCTCTTCGAGTATTTTCTTGACCCGGAATATGATGATTGGGTAGTCATGGTGATTGAAGACAGTCCCAAACCGGAAGCCCCAAGCGAAGTGGTCGCGTTTGGGGTTTGGGATGTCTCGTACATCAACAAGCGGCGGTACGGCCCCGGCTACAAGACGCAGGATCGCAAGTTTAGATGCTCATGGCCCTCGACGGCCGACTATCCTTGTGACATTCACTAACACTCAAACAGCTGTGACCGAAGTAGAAGAACGCGGAGGCAAGACTCGTAAGGATGCCAACCACGAGCACTTCAACGAGTTTTGGAAGGGCCAGATCAGGGCATACAAGAGGTTCTTTGGCTCGATTGGCCCCGAGCAGATCCACCTTCAGATTCTCGCTACCCTTCCCGACTTCCAACGTCGCGGTCATGGGTCCTCGCTCTGCAAATGGGCGATGGAGCTGGTGATGAGTGATTCGCTGAATGACATGTCTGTGATGGCCAGCCCGATGGGGAACGAGCTCTACACATGGTTAGGATTCGAAGACGTGGGGGCCTTTTACATTCAAGTTGCCGGCGAGAGTCAGCGACTGGTGCTTCACGCTATGATGTACCGTCCGACCAAGTTGCGGACGGCGACATCAAGAAAGGATGCGGATGGCAGTTGCTGTGTGGTGATTTAGACGGGGTTTATTCGGCGTACGGGGGTTAAGCTTGGTGGGAGACGGGCAAGGGGCAACTCGACTTCATACGAGAGCTGATGACTTTATGAGACATGAACTTCTGCGGAAAGCATACAAACACCCGTGATGACTTTTTTCTCGAGCATTGATACCGCAAAGGGTGTATACACATTATCAAGCGTCAACCAGATGCCCTCCGTTTGGGATTGTATAGATGAGGATGCGCCGAATTTTCCCTCTCGCGGCATTTAGAAATTGGAAATAGATATTGGAGGCAGAATTCAAAAACGGTAGCTGGTGTCAACCATGGTGTTCCGAGTGAAACTGGGGATTTAGATATCATCTAGGATGGTGTCCTGGATGATTGAATTTTTAAAACTGCCATGACTGACTGGAATCAATTATCCTACGCAAACTCCAAACCCGTACATTTTACTGTACTTTGTAGACGAATATATAATATGAATTTACAACGCAAGATAGTGAGTGAGCTCTTGACCCGGATCCCAACTTCGAGTCGCTTCGGAGTGCCCGGCAGCGGACCCCGGTTCGGCCGCTTTTAGTGCCGGCGGGACCGGACGGAAAGAGTGGGGCTCAGTGGGTCTTGCCGCTCCATGCATCATCGGCATGCTGCCCTTCGCCTCAACAACACCAGAGTGAGCATAGAATTAGCTTCTCAGCTTCAAGTTTCACCATCTTATGTTACGGATTACCTGTCATAATGGAGAACTCCCAAACCTTCGATTCCCTCCCCAACGAGGTCCGTGAATCCCGTAACACCCTCCTGGCTGTCCATAAGGACCATACCACGGAATCACTGACAGCCTCGAACAGCTACTCATCTCCATTCTCTCCCAACTCCCCACCTCCTCCCTTCTCCCCCTCATCACAACCAGCCGCCGCATCTACTCCATAGCACTACGCATCCTCAAACAACGCCTGAGCCACGCCACCTCCCAACCAGACCAGCGGCTGATGCTCGAGTGCTATCACCCAAGCGAGAAGCTGTACACACCCTACCTCTACTGTAACTACCTCCGCACGGACAGCTTTGCCAGCGCAGAGCCCACAGCCAGGGGCACCAGCGGCACCGGCGGCCTGGCGGGCATATACGCGCACTTCCGCCCCGTCGAGCAGGACGAGGACCGCCCCCGCCGAGCGACGCGCGGCTTCCGGCGGCACCTCACCCCCACTCCCACCACCACAGCCACCCCCAATAATGAAGAACCACGGCCGTCCACAGACGTCTACCTCGACGACGACGAGTCGTTCACGCAGCTGTGCGCCGTGACCAACCTTGTGCGCATGGGTCCCAAGCCGGGCCTGTTCCGCAGCCATGTCAATGTGAGTGAGGGCGTGCTGCGCGTGTGGAGGGACTGGTTGGCTGAGCGGGCTGCGGCGGGAGGGCGGCGGGGGGAGCGTGCGGGACGAGAGGCGGGGGAGGCGGGACAGGGACAGGAGGAAGAGGAGGAGGAGGAGGAAGGGGGCGGTGGCGGTGGGGATGGGGGTGGTGGGGATGAGGGTGAGGGTGAGGGTGGTGACGAGGATGGTGTGTTGTGGGCTGATGCGTCGCGTGATGTTGGGGTGCGGTTCCGGGTGGCTGAGAAGGACATCCGCGGGCAGCACCCCGTGCTTGTAGCCAGCGACGAGCAGTTGCCCGTGGCGTACCGGCTTGAGTTTGGGGAGCTGCTGGTGAGGGCCACCACGCTGCTGCTCATGGTGGAGAAGTCGGAGATGCAGGATTTTGCAGCCGAAGGCAAAGCTATCGTTCTTGCATCGTTTTGAGAGGTCGGCATCCCCCACCAACCCCCCTTTTCTTAACGCGACTGGGCGTGGGAAACTCGATCAAACAATCCCCTAGGGTCCTCCGGTTGAGGCGATCATGGGCGTGGGGGCATAGCTCACTTGCTAAAGGCATAGAAACGCCGTTTCGGTGTTGATTTTTGCAGCCGTCTGGCATTGGGACGTAGTCGTCATGTGGATCCCTTTCGAGCCTCCAAGGTTTCCTTGACGCCTGTTGTTTGACCCGCTGATCGAACGGGGCGGACGTTTACAGAAAATGGAAAACTCCCGAGCCCGTCAAAACCGGGAATCAGATCACGGGAACGTCGCGCGCGTCTACGTTCCGAGTATGGCTACGTACTGTTGCTCATCCAAGGCTATGAAACCACCTTCGAGCCACGGAGGCCTGTCAAACGTTGCTCCCGGTGTTTCTCAACCCCAGGATATCCAGTCGGCAAGGACGGTTGTGAGGCTCTCGTTGAAGATGGCTCAAGAGGAGTTGGGTGGCCTGTGGGTAGGTTCGGGCTGCTTTCTTGGGGCAGTCAACAAATGGAAGGTGGTTCTTGAGGCTTAGGATCGCCTGACGTGTGACGTGTTTCCAGTCTCGTTAGCAAGACGGAAGATCGAATCGAGATGGCGGGCATTGTGTTCTAACTTGGGCTCAAGGCCGCCCGCGGTTAATGCGGCGAAAGATGCTGCCGGCTGCAGCGCTGCCTGATCGCCCGCGGTTTTGTGACCGGCTATCGCGAGTATTATGCATTTGTCGGTAGCCAATCCCCAAAACCTGGTTAGCAGAGGTCGGAGGTCGGATACAACTACCCCGCTGGTTGCAAGAAACGTGGAAAGTCGAAACAGCCATGACTACGAGGCCGGTGAACCGGCGATTGTTCCCCTCGTCTACCGAGGTGTTGCACCGTTGCACCTCGAACGTTACGAACAAACTCTTTTCGGCGGTCTGTAACCCAGAGTTTGATGCATCGGGAATAGTACTCTGTCCGTGCAGCTTTTTCTTCCTTTTTTGCACAACCGTCCCATCTCGCGCAAGATCGGACGCCGGTCCGAAGCAGGGATGGCTGCGTCCGACGCAGACCCTCGGGGCTACGAGTCTCGGTTCAGCTCCGATGAAAGGTCGAGACCATGTGCCGACTGGAGGAAGCAACGGTGATTGTTGAACATCTGCACGGTATCTGGCGGTGAGGGCGCGTCTTGTTGGGAGGCTTGCGGCGTAAGCGCAGCGAGCGCGGTCACAAACTCTTCCAATGGACACGAACGGGCAGTGGGCTCGCATGATGCAATTGTCAGGAGGCACCATCAAACAACATGGAACCCACGAGCTAACCCGGAAGAAGCCGAATCCCATGCAGCCCCACTAACCCCCCAGCCCCTCCCCCACTTACCCTTGCTTCGCGGGGTCCCTCAGCCCTACAAAGAGCACACACAGCCCTTCAGTTTAGGGAAGGCGGCTCTGCGTGAGACCAAAATCGTGAGTTGCACCTAAAATATAACAAGTTATACGATCTCGAAGGTCATTGAGAGCAATCTCGGCGGGCTCCTCTGCCGTACTTAGTGTAACGGCCGAAAACGACAAATGTACCTGCGCCAACCCCTCTGCGTCACCTGAAGTTTCAGCCTCTTGCTGGCCCCTGCGCTCGCTTCTGCGAGTTTGCGTCGCCCGGGTTGAGAAAACTCGACGTGACGGGTCAGAGCGGGCCTGATCACCGTACCATCCAACCGGGACATGACCAGCTGTGGACCGTGGATGCGACCCCATCGTCGACCTCGTGCAATCCGAGTGGCCAGTAGCTGGTGGCGGGCCCGAGATCTGGCTTCCGGTGCACCACTCCCTGTCCTCAGATCCACCCCAGACGCATGAGCGAGGGTTGTGATGGCTTCCGGGTCCAGAGTGATCCTGTTCCCCTGCTTTATGCTTCGGGCTAAGTCAGCAATCACGTTTCTTTTCGAGCACGCAGTCATCGTCACCGCCAAGGACGTCCCTCGTGCAGATGATCGACCATGGCTCTCATTCTGGTAGACGAGGGTTCTCTCCTCGTGGCTTTTGGGCTGGTTGATCAACGCAGTCACGGCAGTGTTCCACTACCGCAGTCCTTGCGTATCTGATTGCTGAGGTCAATGCTTGTCTAATTGGCCCCCATGCCCCCCACAACTGCGGTGCAGTCGTTCTTTTAATGTTGATACATACCCTCGTCCCTGCCCCTGGCTTCCCTCATTGAGGCTTCAACCGACCTTCGTCTCGTCTGCTGGGCACGACAGATGCCATTCGTTTCCCAGATCGCATCTCCTCTGTGAGTTGAGGTGTCTCCGGTCGCTATTATGGACTTTGTGGGAACGGGCGGGGACCCTGAGAAAGAGTTGAGGGTCGGGATACCTCCTTCTGGAGACGATGAAAACATGGGGGAGATTCGAAGGGGACCGAACATGACCGTTCCACCAACGCCCCCAGCAAAGGACCTGCCTCCGCCTCCAGCGTTGTTAAGGCCGAACCCCTCGGCTCCTTTGGATAGCCCATCCGAGCCACCTAATAGACCACTGCCACCAAGACCGACGACAAAGCCGCAAAGCCCCAAGGCTCCGCAGCCGTCAAGGTCACCACCATTCAAGCCACAAGCACCTCTAGGGATGAACCCGCCAACTCGACCGGGGACGGCGGCCAGCCAGGTTGCTGCGACGACAATATCTTCCAGATATCCCTTGTCGTCAAAACGGCTCTCTTGGATATCGGACTCCTCGAAGAGGCCTATCAAGTACGGCCAAGGGAAATATGGTCGTGTTGAACTGGTACCACAACCCAGCAATGATCCAAATGATCCACTGGTATGTCCAGCCTCGGAACCTATCGTGATTAATGCTGACAGTTTGCAGAACTGGTCCAGATGGAGGAAGGAGCTCAACTTTTACTCGCTGTTGATGATGGTTGCCATGACCGGCGTGACGAAGACGATGTTTATGACAGTTAATACCCAGCTCGCTCAGGGATACCAAGCTTCTTATACGGCTGTTGCCGCCTTGACTGGTGTGCCACTAATTGTTTCGGCCTTGACTGGTATGGCCTGCCTCGTGGCATCGAGGATATGTGGGAAAAGGCCTCTTTATTTGGTCTCTCTGCTGCTCATGTTTATCGGCACAGTTTGGAGTACCAATGTTGCAACCAGCTATAGTCAGTGCATGGCTGCTAGGATATTTCAAGGGCTGGGTTGGGGTGCTTTTGACACCCTTGTTCTGGGATCGATCCAGGACACTTACTTTGTAAGAGAAAACCCCTCCACTGTTTACGTTCTCATCGTCTGATGGCGTTCAGGAGCATGAGCGCAGCATTCGCATCGCCATACACTCGACCGTTGCCGTAATGACAACCTGGGGGCCGCCGTTGATCGGCGGCGTTGCCTCTCAAGGCTCGGTCGGTTTTAGTCTGCAACCCACGATCCTCAGCGCCTTTTTTGTCGTTGCCGTACCCGCCATTTCCCTCGGGGCCCCAGAAACAGCGTTTAACCGGAGCCTCGCATTCCCAGAAACACCCGCCACAGCCACGAGCCAGTTCAAAGCTTCCCTGGCCCCCACAACACTCCGCTCTCTCTCCCTCGAAACCATTGCCGACTATGTTGTCAAGCTCAAGCCGTACGCCTACCACAGCCCTGCCGACCTCACCATCCTCCTCCAAGCTCCGCGGGCCTTCATCACGCCCACAGCAACCCTCCTTGCTATCGTCTCCATCCTCCCTCACGCCTCCCTCTGGGGCCTCGTTGCTTCCATCTCCCTCCTTTTCTCTCCCCTCCCCTTCGACCTCAACCCAGCAACCATTGGTGCCCTCTTCCTCGCCCCGTTCCTGCTTTCAGCCGCCGCAGTCGCCCTCCCAGCCCTCGCCCCCCGCTGGGCAAACCCGCTTCACCCCCAAAACCCACATGCTCGCCCTTTGCAGCAAGGCACCGTCCTCGCCTTCATTGGCATCCTCACCTTCGGCCTCCATCTCAACGACGCCATGACCCCCCCCACCACAACCAGAACCCTCCCTCTCCCCGACCCCAGACACCATCACACCTACCCACCAGCCCCACCTCACCACCCCATCTCCTCCTCCGCACTCAACTACCTCGCCCCGCGCGGCCAACCTCCCCGCCCTCTCCTTCCTCCTCGGCCTCCTGGCCGCCGGTGCCTCCCTCCTCGACGCCACCGCGCCCCCGCTCATCCGCGCCAGCACCTCCTTCACGAGCGCCAACCTCGCCTCGGCCACGCGCAACACCGCCGACATGACAGCGGCCGTGGCGTGCTGGCGGGCGGTGGCCGCGGGGGCGTTCGTCATGGGCGTGCCCAACGCCGTGTGGTGGTGGGACGGGCTGCGCGGGTTCTGTCTGGCGGTGGGCGTGGTGCAGGTGGTGGTGGCGGCGGTGGTGGGGGCGGTGTGGTGGCTGTGGGGGGAGGGCGTGAGGAGGTGGGATGGAAGGGTAATGGGGTTGGTGGATTTGGAGGGGTTGAAGGAGTGGGACGGGGAGTTTTTTTGATTTGGATTAGGGGGGTGGAATGGGATGGGATGGGAGGTGGGTGTGTGTGTGTGTGCGTGGTTTGTGATAGGGGTTGGGGGGCGTTCTGGGGCTGGGATGGGATCGGTGAGTGGTCACTCACTCACTGGCTGATATGGATGATTTTGTGTCCGGTGGGACTGATATGGAGTTGTTCAATCATTTTTGGAGGAAGATGAGATGATGATATGATACCAATGCCATTCTTTTCTACAACTTTCTAAGGCCCAACCAACACACATATTTTCTAGCCAACCGGGCTCGCCAGGCTTTTAATATGCCCACAAACTGTCCAGTCAACCCGACATTGCAGTTCTTCACATCGGCTAGCCACAGCCGCCAGTAACTCTCCCGTTCAGCCTGCGCCGTCGCTCGTCGCAGAGGGCCGGCCGGTAAAATGGAACAGGACGAGGCTTCTGGAAGCTTACTGCTTCTGACTGCGGTATACAACGATCCCGGCCCTGGGCCGTGTCGATCAAACGCCGGCGGTTGCCGGGAGATATCAGGTGATTTGCCATTTCGGGTGAACTGGGAGAAGTAATATTTTGTTGGTCAGCAATCACCTTGCGGATAGATGGCTAGCGGAGACAGGCCGAGGTTAGTCGCTGAGTTCGAGATCGGTGTTCACCTGAGAGCAAGAGGGGAAATAGCAATGTTGCTCAATTTTCACTACTGCACAGACTATGGTGGTGAGACGCCAGAATTGCCACCTATTTCGTGATTTGACCCGATGTACGCCTTAATCCATATGCGAGGGGAGCGGGCCAGCGTACTTTTCTTGGTCTCCTCCAGTTCTCCCCGTTGGTATCTTGACAAACACGTCGCTTATGATCTCCTTTCAAAGCCAAAAAATTATCCACAATATTACCCATTGGACCCCAATCCGTATAAAAGGCCACTCCTAGAGTAACGACCGAGCAGCCTTGATCTCCGAAACTAGAGTCCCCTGCGATCGCTGACTGTCCATCGGCGCTTCGAGGCGGTGACATCCCGGAAACGGTCCGCGTCGTCAGGCGGCCGTGGTGTGCCCCAAAGCCCCCCAGTTCCCGCGCCGAGCTGCTCCCGCTCAGGCTTCGGCGAACGCTCATTGATTGGTCCACCGCTTGGTGAGGCGTCGACAATGGCGCTTCCATTCGTGGTTTGGGTGGTGGTACTTGGTGTGAGTTTGGGTTCTGGCGCGGGACTGGAAGCGGCCGCCGGAGCCACCGTTGTTGCCGGCTTCTTTCCAAAATTCCCACCAAAGTTAAAGGCAGGGCCGTCGTCCTCTTCGTCTTCGTCTGCAATGGGCGACCACAGACCGCTACTGCCAATACGTGATAGATTTGACGGCCGCGTCGCTGAAAAAGACGTCACGCCGCTTCCAACAGTGATACCCCCAGTGCTTACAGCGAAAGAGAGCCGAGGAACGGGTGAGTCATTTTTAAGACCCTGTCGAAAGCCCCCTAAACCAGAGTCTCCAGATGAGCTAATCCTCCCCGGCCCGTCGTGCCATGAGAAGTTTGTAGACGTGGAGAATGATGCGTGGCGCCCCCGGATGCCGTTCGGGGTTCCTGGAAGGATAGGAGCCCTTGAATTAGTTGGAGTATCTGTAGGAGATCGCAAGTGGTCGGTATTGGCGAATAGCTTGAGATCGTAGAGCTCGTGGACGGGTGGCGTCGCCCCGGATTCTTTGAGGGAGCCCAAGCTTTCTGTAACCGGCTTGCGGACCGCCATCGTGAGAGATGCCATGCCAACATCCATCAAAACAGGCTGGTGAGTTATGGCGCCGATCAAAGCATTGCAGCCGGCTCCGTGGGAGACCATAATGACGATAGATTCGACTTCGACATCCTCATCGTTTGACTCATTGTCGGGTTCGGACCTCACACTTTTGGTGACCGGCCGGGTTGGCCTATCTGCCGTCGAATACCAATCCACTAGGCTTTGGGCGCCGGCACGGAACCGCTTGTGCATGGCTGCCCATTCTTCGGGGTAAGACCCGCCGTCCCCCCAATCCAGCAAGCTGCGTGTAGAATGCCATTGGTAGTCAACCATAACGCAAGCATCCCGAGCATGTGAAACATATCCTATCGGGATATTGTTGTTGCTGCTAATAGCATAATGGGGAACGGGCGAGACATAGCCAGTTTCTTCTCGCGCCTGGCGGTTTCTCTGGCCGCCGGCGCTTGAACCAGTCGCCGGGGAAGCAGCCAGGTTTGTCATGGAGCCAAATTCCTCTTTCTGGCCGCTGCTAAACGGAGAAGCGGAGCTCTCCCGGGCTGATGGGCTCCAGAGTTGCCCTTGGGAGCTGGAATGGTGGTGCGAAACAGAGTTTGGGTAATGGGTATAGTCTTCGCGACGGAGGAGGTCGGCCTTGGCGCTGGCCAACATCATGACGGACTCGGGTGGTGGCGTGATGAACTCGAAATAGCTCGGCGAGAGCCATTCACCAAGAAACGCATCCAGCCGCAGCACAGACTTTCGGATATTGGCACTGGAGCCGAGATTTGTAACGAGCGTCGGCTTGGGTCGGCCGTCTGTGGGGGAGGTCCGAGTAGGAGACGTAGTTTCAGAGGAACTCGGGGACTCGAATGGAGCTGAATCCTGGGCGAGCCCTGCACTGATGGCAATTGAGGTTTGGATGCATCGCAGAAATGGCGAACTGTGTAGAACAACCTCGTATCTTTTGCGTTTCGGCTTTACCGCGGCGTCGGTATTTTGGCTCCCGGCACGCTCATCTTCTTGGACCCTCTCCCGTATTATCGACGCGATCCTGGAACCCAAACTCTTTGCTTGCTGCCAGCCGCTGTACGTCAGAGGCGGGTCGTAGGGTGTTGGGGATGAGAGATGCCATTGTTTGTCGGCGGCATCAAGTCGATAGCCGTGTCTGCAGACTTGTTAAACCCTAGATCTACGGCGCGGTACCGGCCAACGGAGGTGTTGCTTTTGGAGTCGTGGATTTGGTTACCTGACGACAAAAAGGTACGCTGGAGGGCGCCCCATCGTGGTACTAATTTTGTAGGGAACAAGACGGTCGGCGAATTGAGGAAGAAGGGTCGAGTAGAAGAATGGATCCTCAGCTTCAAGTGCGGAGGGAAACCGTGCTATTCAGCTTGGTCGCGTCACACAAAAAAGATGGGCTGTTTGCGGCGATTGCCGTCACTGCGACTGCGGAGGAAGTTGTTCTGTGATTGCAGTGGGGTGGGATTTGGTCGAGGAGGATGGGTGGGAGTTCAAGATGGGCCGCTTTAAGCTTCTTAGACTATGAATGATGAAGAAACGGCCAACGAAGTATGATCAAGTCACGCGCACCTCGTAGGTCGATGCTTTCGCGGCCACTTGCGTTGGTGATGGGCGCAGCGCGGGGGATGGCGGGGGAAGCTGCTGATGCGGCAGGGACTGTAGCAGGGGTTCAAAATGCGACATCAGTAATCTGTAGGTGGGCCCGCTTCTGTCCGTCTCCTCGCCGGATCCAAACTGTCGGCGCTCATTCTCTTCCTCCCTAACTATGTACGTAATTTTTCTTGCTTTGTTGAGTGGTCATCATTTGAGTTATAATGGCTGCTTTGATGAACTCCAGCATCTTTTAACTATGTACTCTACGATAATCCCTTTGAGTTTTGGTACCAATTCCAGATCTGTATGCCGTGTACACCACGGTAACGTCACCCAGGCACGAATAAATGGCGTTGGGCCCATTCTGTTTCATTGAGCACTGAGCCACCTTACGACTGCGTGACAACATCAGCTCATGGAAAGGCAAGGAGATGCAGTGATTCTGTAGATCGAATGTTACCGTGTGTTACCGTTTTTCCTTGTTTTGGCCTGGGCTGGCAGGCAGAACGCAAGCCGGCGTCAACCGACGTGCATGCCCTTCGACGGTTGCAAGCTGTCACATGCTCGCTCGTCTGCGGCCTGCATGGATGCTTGTTCGGCGGGGGGCGGGCCGGAAAGAGGAGCCGATGGGTTTGTGTCGGAAAGAATTGCCGATCCAGCTCATTCCCCGGGATCGGCCAGGGGCCGCTTATGTAACCGCTAAAGTGATCTGGCCCAGCGCAACGGCTGCGCCTGTCAACCCCTGTGTCGATGACAAACCAGACCGAACCAACGCGCGAATCGAACCGGCGCAATCGATGGAGAGCAGCGCGCTCAGGTGACGCCTTTCACCCCTAAGCCGACAAGCCACTCCTTTTACCACTCTTGCGACGACCAAGATGAAGCTCTCTGGTCTCTTCGGCCTCCCGGCCTTGCTGGCCGCGACCGTCCTGGCGCCCGCGGCGCTCGTTGGGGCCGAACACACGAGCAACTGGGCAGTGCTAGTCTGCACCTCACGATTTTGGTTCAACTACCGGCATCTGGCGAATGTCTTGTCCATGTACCGCACTGTCAAGCGGCTAGGGATTCCCGATTCGCAAATTATCCTCATGCTCCCCGACGACATGGCCTGCAACCCACGCAACGCCTTCCCTGGGACAGTCTACTCTAACGCCGACCGCGCCGTCGACTTGTATGGGGACAACATCGAGGTGGATTACAGGGGATACGAAGTCACGGTGGAGAACTTCATCCGGTTGCTAACAGACCGTGTTGGGGAGGAGATGCCGCGCAGCAAGAGGCTCTTGACGGACGACCGAAGCAATATCCTCGTGTACATGACGGGTCACGGCGGGAACGAGTTCCTCAAGTTTCAGGATGCTGAAGAGATCGGTGCCTTCGATCTTGCCGACGCATTCGAGCAGATGTGGGAGAAGAAGAGGTAAGTCGCGAGCTCTCCTTCTCGGGGAATACCGTAACTGACCTTGGCAGATACAACGAAATTCTCTTCATGATCGATACCTGCCAGGCCAATACCATGTACAGCAAACTCTACTCGCCCAATATCATTGCCACCGGCTCCTCCGAGCTTGATCAATCGTCGTACTCGCACCACGCCGACAACGACATCGGCGTCGCCGTCATCGACCGCTACACATACTACAACCTGGAGTTTCTCGAGACCGAGGTACGCGATACGAGTAGCAAGAAGACGGTAGGCGACCTGTTTGACAGCTACACGTTCGAGAAGATCCACTCCCACGCGGGCGTCCGCTACGATTTGTTTCGTGGCGGCGCCGAGGCAGCACGGAAGCGGCTCGTCACGGACTTTTTTGGAAACGTACAGAACGTCGAAGTTGACGCGGCTAAGAATACAACGGCTTTGGATGAGGATATACTCGCGCTCAGCCGGACGATCGCGGCGCTGCATCGAAAAGCCGAGGAAGAGGAAACTGCGCTGAAGAAGAATGTCAGTGGAGAGGCTGAGACGACATCGCCCAAGCAGAAGAAGGTGCAGTTTGCCAAGCCGCTAACAGACGAGAACTGGTGGACCAAGAAAATCCTCGGGGCGGCCGCTGTTGCCGGGTGCACGGCGCTTTGGGGGTTAAGCTCGCTTCTTGAAGGGTCGGGGAGGTAAGGGGTAATGACAGACGGTTTGCATTTCAACAAATAATTACATACAATCATTATTATCAAGTTCATTGGTTACAGTGAACCTATCCACTCCCTTCCCTTCAACCACATTCCTTCCACGACAGGGGTTGATATCTAAGCCCAGAGACCTATTCGTGGATGCCGAGTCCCCCGCCCACGTTATTTGCCGTCAAAAGTCAACCAAGCGCAATATCGTGAGCGGCCACCAAGACAAAGAGCTAAACCGAAATATGAGTTGAAGATGGGCTTGCACTGCAGTGTAAGTGGTGGTGTGGTGTGGTGAAGGGCCAACAACTGATGGGGGTTAGGGTTACACTCAACGTTGTTGTTGATGTGGAACTGGCTGGTCGTTTTCTTTCAACACCGTTTCCTGCAGCTGCACTGACAACCTCGACTCTTGCACCGACAATGCACCAGGTTTTGTGTCATCATCCCAGTGCACCGATTTGACCTGCGCATGGTAATATTCCTTCGAAATGAGCACAGTAACTTCAAAACCCAATAAGCAGAAGGTGCGTGGTCATTCTTTATTTCATCCCACTCAAACCGTTCTAGCACAACCTTAAATATCGTTTTTTGGACGGTTGGATTGGTTGTTTTATATTCGGGGTATCGTTCGCCGGGTTTGGTTTTATGAGATGGTACATGGCTCATTAGCAACCTTTCGACATGAAACCTAGTGTCACTGACGACCCTCGCAGCTGCTGCCTCTTCCTTGTCCAATTCACTAACAAGAAGCCATAAGTTTCTCCCACTTCGGGAAATCACTGTCAACTCACGGCCACTCGTCAAACGCGCAATCCAATTCTCATGCGATGGCGACCTCGCCGTCACCGCCGACGACTCTGTCCATGTCTTTGTCCCAGAGTTCCCCGATTTCTCCAAACGCCGAGAAAAGCTAAAAGCCCGTATTAATGGCCAGCAATATGGGGCTGAGGATGACTCCTCGGATGAAGAAGAAGACGAGAATGGAGGCCCAAGGAAATACAACCATCAAGCCCTTCGCGCTCAGTATTCCGAGGGCAGCAAGCACATGCCCGTGTCTTTCCCGCCGTTAGATCCGCGCGTCAACCGGGAACTCTTCGCGGCTCAAGATATTCGCTTTCCTTACGAAGGCGCGGCCGATGCTGATGTTGCGGACGCCGACAGCAACGACGACTCTGCGGGCTCCGAAGACGCCTACGATTCGGAAGATGATGAAGACGACCAGGGCACCGGTTTGGGTACCAACCGGCCCTACGGTGCTGGCTATGGGCCCATCACCGGAGTTGGAAGCAGCATGAACCACGTTGTGGGCATCGGCTGGTCTCCGTCTGGCCTGGGGGTCAATCGCCGCCCTGTTCTGGCCGTCTTGACGGGCTCGGGGACGCTCACTATTTTCGGAGATGGTAGCGAGTTTGCAAATATCTTGCCGCGCGCCAACGAGGGGATGCTCCAGCGCCGCGAACTCAACTCATGGGTCGTTCTTTGGGGTGTCGGCGAGCGCTTGATCGTTCCGGGTCAGCAGACTGAAATCAGCGAGTACCTTCGCGGCTTCGCATGGGCCCGCGAGGTTGCGCCTGGCCAAGCCTTGCTTGCCACCATCAACGACTTGAACGAGGTGGCTATCATCAGTGTACAATGTATTTTTGTGGCGGATGACACCGGTCCCAAGGGGGGTTTCTCGTTCCAAACAGAACCCCGGGAGAACGTCGTTTGGTTGGTGCGTGAGATCGCACGTTTCAAGGCGCAAGGGCCTCATAAAACAACAAACGTGAGTTGCCCGCTCCTAATCAAATACTACTACGCGTTAACACTCTCCGTCAGCCGCTGGACCCAGACTTTGTCCCCTTCGGTACTTCGTTTGGTCTAAGATGGGGACCCTGGCTCCAAGCCAACGGCTCTCGCACCTGTGCGCTTTCTTTTATTGACCGAGGCTACGTTGGTTTCCGAACCGTCACAGTCAAGGAGCCCTGGGCTAGAGGCGAGCTTCCAAGCCTGGAAGTCGGGTCCGAGGACATCCACGGCATGTGCGTGCACCTTTCGGTCGACGCGTTCGTTGAGTTTGAGGATGCTGTAAGCTGCCTGGTTGACGGATATCCAACTTCCATGCTAACAACACAATTTGGTAGATATGGACGCAAGGCCCCATCACTTCTTGCAGAGGACTAATTGCCACTGGGTTCGACCTCAAGCAATTCGAGGTGAATCTCCTTGGGGGGGGCGAGTCACAAAACGGAGAAACACAGCGTTTGGGACTGCCACACCGTTTATCACGAGGACGCGGAGTATGCGTCACAAAATCCTATTGCCGGTATGGGCCGGATTCTAGGAGGAATTTTCGGGTTCGCTAATGCTTGCAGACCTTGTCATTCACCCGCCTGACCTTGTCAACCCAACGTTGACTCCGCTATACACACTCATCCGCCTGTCCGCTACGGCCACCACTCATGATTGGTATCAAACGAATCTCCCTACTTCTAATGATCCCGCAACAGATCCCCGACCGCAATGGGTCCGTACCATTGCGCAGAAACTGGAAGTCCGAGTCCCCGTCGATATGCACCTAACACGAAACTACGACGACAGTGGATCGGAGGGCTCTGGTTCGGAGTCTGAGGATGAAGAAGATGACCTCGATATGGATGGCGACCTTGACTCTCTCGGGGATGAAGACGAAGTGGTTGATAGTGCCAAAGCCACGATCCTCGAGATCCCCGAGATCCACCCCCATCGCTACCGTCTCCACGGCCTGACCCTCTCCCCCGGGGGCGGTGTCGCCGCGGTCCTCGCCAGCAACCACAGCACACAGAGACCCGAGCGCGGTGGCTGGCATACGGTGAGGTCTACTGTGATGTTTGGCCACAAGTCCCGGCGTCAGCGTCAAACGGCGCAGGCGTCACAGATCGACTACGGCTACCCAATCGACCCGCAAGTGATGGACATGAGTCCGAAAAACCACACTGCGGTGGTCAACCCTGACCACTACAACCACCTAACAACCGAAGCCAAACTGTTCGAAAACCTCTACGGTGGCGGCCCCGAAGTTCCCGGCGTGCACTACCACCCCACCCACACCACCGCCACCAACACCACAACAACCTCATCCTCCTCCCCACCTCCGACCTCCACCTCCACCCCCAACACTAAAAACTACCTCCGCTCCCTCTTCGCTCCCGCCCAAGCAACCCAAAAGTGCGACCTCTGCGGCGCGGCCATGGACCAGCGGCGCGGCGGGCTCAGCGGGTGCCGGCACGGGCACTTTTTCGGGACGTGTGCGACATCGGGGTTGGCGGTGCAGACGCCCGGGGCCACACGCAGTTGCGGTGCGTGCGGCCTGCGCACGATGCGCGCCGAGGTGCTCGTCGCCAAGATGCCCGACCCGGGGAGGCGGGAGGAGGTGAGGCGGCTTGTGGGGGAGGGGGTGTGTGGTGCGTGTGGGGGGAAGTTTTTGAGTTGATGAGAGAGAGGAGAGGGTGGTGTGGGGGATGGGTGACGGAAGGGGGTTGTCATGGTTATCACTCAGTATTCGTATCTGGGCGGGTGGTCATAGTAGCCCTACCGTTACCACTGATGTATGTAGTCTATGTTACAGATCTAGCCCAGCCAGTTTTTGCCGTGGTTTAATGCGCCCTAGAACAAACAACTGCAAAGACAACATGAAACGGACCAAAAGCAGAGTAATGCCTCAAATCTAATGCTCAAATAGGAACCCAAACTCCTCCCGCTCTCTTCGGCATGCGAAATCCCTTGCAGAACGAGGTATCCCTAACAGAAAATGCCGGCCCATCAGAGTAAAACCACACGCCAGTCTATCAGCGCGCAACCCACACCGACAACCCAACGCCCTCCCCTCAGTTAAACGCCTTATTCATAGCCTGGTGCGCCAACTCGACCCCCAAAAACGTCGCCGCATTCGCCGGCACCGCTCTTGCCAGCGCGGGCCCAAAGCCCGGGAAAAACGCCTTGTACCCCCCCTTCGCATACAACCCCCTGACCACCCCCCCAATCGTCACATTTCCCTCGGCCGTCTGCAGCCGACTCTTGACCGTATCGATCGGGAACACGGGAATCCACATGGCCACGCCCGCCGCGGCGCCCGCGCAGGTGACCGCCGGCAGGCTGAGCTTGCCGCTGGGCTCGCCGGTGACGGGGTCGCGCGGGGTGAGCATGCGCTTGATGTACTCGTAGGCGGCGAAGTAGGCGGCGGAGCCTGGGCCTGTCGCGGGCCAGCGTGGCCGCCGACTCGCGAAACACGGACCGCACGCTGCCCTGCTGGTACAGCTGCCGCACGACGTCGACGCCGCCGGCGTACTTGGGCTTTTCGCCGGGTGCGAGCTTCTTTTGGCCCTGCACTTGGAGGATCACCTTGACGCGCTCGAAGGGCGCCGTGATGGCCGTCATGGGGATGGCGGAG